CCGCGGCCATTGCTAGCGTGGCTGTCGTGATGTGCGGTCGCCCACGACCGCTGTTGCTACTGCAGTGCGCACACTGCCCGGCGCAACCACTATCGTCAGTAGATCCAATGTAGCAGCAGAATATAGTGAGGACGGCAGCGGTGTTGCACAACGACCGTCGTTGCTTTGCGATTATTGAATATCATGTTACAAGGAATCTAACATCACTCGCAATCACATTACAAGAAAGAACACATTATAGGAATTTAGATTGATAAAATATGGATCATTCAATCATTGTAAATCAGAAAATAATATATCTAAAATATTTGATTTTAAGAACCTAGGCTCTGATACCAATTGTAAGCATAAAATATATGATATGCTATATATAATACGAAAAAACTTTTATGTTAGAATTGAAATCAAATAGCATTAGATCGATTTTTATGATGCGTACCTTTTGATGTCATTTGAAAAAGATTTTTGTGTGATTTAGACACCATCTTTAGATCTAAAAAATCACTATCAATCTGTAAAGAAAATTAGACTCTCTCAATTGTGTCCTCTATGATATACGTCATGTAGTTTTTAGATGTCATGTCTATTTATAGACGAGAACATAGGGTCTAAGATAAGTTATTAGGAGATTTCCCCTCATCAAGGATATCCCCTAAGAAAATTTACTATAATCTAAATTTTTTTTTATTAATCAATATTTATTATCAAAATCTAATTAATTTTATTATATATCTTATTCAATTATAAAAATCACACGATCAGCTTTTTTTTGCTCTTCGATGTCAAATCCATAAACGGTGACCAGGGTTTTATCAAGTTCCAACACATCCAGATACATGGATGTGTGATCTCGCGTTATGTTTCATGCACTGCGCTGATGCAATCTTTAAAGTTTCAAGCATGTTTCATGCACATGCATGTTTCACATGAGGGACAAACTTTTGAACATTACAAGTTTGAGAGTAGGATCTCTGGATATTATATTAGAACTTTGGATGTTTATGCTACGGATATGTTCAGATGTTGTGGGTGTGGTTTACAAGTTGAGGTCGTAGCACATAGAGCTGCTGCATGAGGAGACAAAACAGTCGCACTTCTTTTTTCCTTTTCATGTGATGGAAAGCTTTGTCAAGTTTTGCAAGTGACTTCTGCCCATGTGTGAAACACTTGTTGTACTCATTTGCCTTTAATGCTGCTTGAATTATTTCTTCGTTGATTTGATGAGTTTTTTTCTGGGAGTCATTTGTATATGATTGCTCTATGTTCTGGTTGGTGCAACTCACATTAGTTGTCTTTGACAAGTATAACATATTTGCTTGTGAGAAGTTGAATTGAAAGTGTTCATTTGTTTGTCGTTTTTTTTCAGTTTTATTAGATTGGCAGTCTTATCATCATAAGACATGATTAGGAGAGGCTTGATTTGTCATTATCACCTCATTTTTCCCTGCAAGTTTTCAGGGTTCATTTATGTTCGTCCAAACTAAACCTAAGCAAGCAAATTACACCGACAACGATGTTTGAGGTCTTTCGAAATGGGAACAGGGGGGAGTCTACCCTGCAATTAGATAAGAGATCAATATGTGGGTACCGGACAATGGTGATGAGGGTTGTAAGAGGTCCCTTCACTTGATTAAGCACTCTATCTGCTGAATACTATAAATCCAGGATGTTAACCTTTTTATAATGAAAAACAGAGTACAATAATTCTGTGTGCTTCACCAAGGAAAACATTGTCTTGTTTAAAAGATAAAAACTATTCTGCAGCTTGTCCTCGTCACAATTCTTAGATGACCGGAACAAGAAGATGACACGTTATATCGTTCGATCTCTCGGTTGCAAAGGTGTTCATTCGACAGCATTTCATAGAGCGATCATGTTTTGGGTGTTTAAAGTTTGTAGTGGAATGTTTATCACCTTCCAAATTGCATCAAAATCTGACAGTTTAGTCACTTTTCAGATCTCTAAGGCTTTGAGATAGCAGCATTGTATCGTAACTTTAAGACGATCAGTTCACTGCTGTCCATTCTTCTCTCTTTCTCTCTCTCTCTCTCTCTCTCTCTCACTCTCACACACACGTATACATACATATGTATATGTATATGTATATATACATATATATAACAATACACCTGCAATGAGTGTTAGTTTTAAGCATTTGCAGATTAATATTTCTTTTAACTTCTTTTCTCAAATTTGATTATTTTGAAAATCTAAACCTTAACCAGTTTCTTTTGCTGCTATTAGTCCTAGAAAGATAAATTTACAATACAATTCTTGCTGAAAATAAAAACTTCATGTGACTGTTCTATAAATTAGTCCGAAACATTATCTTTTCTTGTATTATGGCTCCTCCTGCCAGATGTTGATGAAATGGTCTTATAAGAAAAGCTTATGTCGCGGGAAGCCAACACAAAACAAGGTGACAGGGGTGGCAGGGCGTGGCCACCGGAACGTGTTGGGTGACAGTGCGCGCACGAGAGACGTCCCCATCCATGCACATCGGCGCGTGTCGAGTCCCGCCCGCATGCCCACACACCGCCCGCCTCAATTCCCTCCCCACTCCCACCACCGCCACCCTCATCATCATCATCGTCGTCGGTTTCCCTCCCCACCTTATCACCATTTCTCACGCTAACTCGCCGACTCACTTCGCTCCAAGTCGGTCTGCGTCGGACGCCGTTCACGCCTCTCTGCGTGCATGGCGGCGTCTGGTACGTCCAACTCGGGCACTGCCACGCGAGGGAGATGCACACGTCGGGCGTGAGGCGGTCCGGAGGCCGTAACCCAATCCGAAGGGCCGCGGACCCGGCTCGCGGCGTGGATTCGACCACGTCGCCCTCCGCGCCACGCCGGTCAAATCACGTTGGTGGCGTCGTCTCGCCGACGGTCGACACGCCCGCCACGTCACGTGGGTGGCGCCCTTATGCACCCCCATCTACGTACACGTACCCGCCGCCCCTGGACCCTGTAGCGTGATCCCATCACAAGGGACCGTCTTGCTCTCTCGCTTCCTATATATGTTCTCTGCTCGAGAATTTTCCTGGTGCCGCTCCTTCTGTGGTAGAAGGTAAGGGAGTCGGAGATGATGGCGGTGGGATGGCTGGTGGAGAAGTCCACAGAGAAGCTCACGTCCCCTTCTCCAGTAAACCGGTAAGAGTTGTGGAGAGAGGATGGGTGGAGAAGTTGACAAAGGATAAATCCACGCCATGATCATAAGCTCCTGAGAGAGGTGGCATGAGACGCACACCGCGTCGTACGATCACCGTTGAGGATTCCGGTCGTGCCACGCTGTGTGCGTCTGATGCGCCCCCTCCGGTATCACCCACCATTCGACCATTAACGTCTTCTTTCTTCTTCTGCGTCGGGAGCTTCACCTTCTTCACTTCAGGCCCTTCGTCTCCTCCGTCGTTGTTGACGGCGCAGAGAAGAGCTCAAACAGAATGTCTCCGTGGGTTCTGTTGTTGATTTTTCTGGTTATCTTTTACGTTTCCTACATCGTTTCTGATGGCTGTAGGATCGATCGAACGAGCTGCTCACGGCAGATGGAAGAACACAACGTTGGACGGGTGCTTCTCCATGGCGTCTCCTGCATGCATGGGGGGCATGGTCGCCGTAGGTACGTGCCCCGATCGCGAAATCATAGAAAAGCCCCTAAACATTCGTAGAATCACGCAGGAATCCTCGTAATAGTGGAATTCTTCTTTATCACCAGAGATATCCTAAATTACACGACTAAATCTGTAAATTTCAAGATTTCCTACACATATAAATACTCTAAAAACATTTAATCCTCGGATTACATAATTATTGTCTATATTTGCATGGATCCTTTCAACACAAGTATGTACTCCATGAAGCTTATAGAAAGAACTCGTTATCATAAAAGAATTATGAAACTGCATGGTTAAGGTCAGTTCATAATTAAGATAAAAATGGGGGCATGTAGGCAATTTTATGCTTTATATGCAAATTACAAATTTCTTATCATGATAGGTATTTTATGTTTTATGTCCTTTAACAAGACAATAATAATCTCGTGTGTTTTAACGAATCCTATTATACAATAGGGAGATATACGAAAGGATCTTAATAGTTTGGAAAGATGTATATAATATTGATTTATATGATAAGTATAATATAATCGAACTTTCATTTCAGACGAATAATTTCTGGAGGAGCGAGCAAACAGAAAATTAGGAGGATGTATATTATATAGTATTTAGAAGAGTATATGTGAAAATATAATTATGTGATGGGTTTATAAGTAAGTATGTAGCGTTATGCAAATTATGTAAATCATCGTTATGATGTCGGTTTATGTAACGTTTCGGTTACGTTACATCGCCTGCGTTATAAACTCCTCCCATAAATGCTCCTCCACTGGTCGCCCCCTTTTCCTAAACCCCACGGGGATCGACCACAAGCGGGAAGGGAGTAGAGGGAGGACGCATCCTTGCGTCGATGACCGGCGGCAAGATCCAGAAAAAGGGGCTGCGGCGGCAGAAGCAGTAGCAGAGGGGGGAAAGGCAGCACATCCTGAAGAACCCGATGTTGGCGGAGGCCAGCGACCGCTAGATCGGCTCCGGCATCGGAGCCGATCCAATTCATGACTTTTATGTAATTGAAGATCTTCTTCTTTTCCTCTGAAACATTTTTGGATTGTTAGATGGCTAAAACAAAAGACCTTATGGTTTTGATGATCTTTCGTAGGGAAATGGTCCAGTAAGCTGGAGTTAGTGAGAGAAAAAGAGCCTGTTCCTGGTCATCATAGCAAAACTGATGTTGCAGGTCGGATCAACTTTAAGAATGAGTAATTCATGTTGATATGAGATCCATATGAATGGCCTGAATCAGGTCCAGCTCATGAACAGCTCTTAACATGGTGTAATATGTGGTATCTTTTGTGTTTCCATTGTTTACCCTGTCATATGCCCTTCTATCCATTTTGCTCAACTTTAGATTACAAAACTTCGGTATAATTAAGAAAGTTTAACACATGTTTAACACATGCATATATAAGATGAATTTTTGTGTGATTCTGGATCCGGGGATGACTTTTACAACTGGAACAGTTCATAAATCATGCTCAAGTGGAAAGAGGTAATCACCAAAAACTCTTATTGCATCGGTAAGTATGAAAGCTTCAATAAGTATGAAAATTTCTATAGCTATTTTCTAGAGCTTTGAGAAAAGAAACTGACGGTTCTTTTTGTTCCAATTATGCTTAAATTGAGTGTTGTCAGCCCATGCCTCCCTAATGGTTATTGTGTTCTATAAATTGTCCTAAAAGGTTTGCTACATATGCAACTATGTGTACCTTCACATTCTGTTACAATCTCGTTCTTTTTGGCAGTGTCTTCTCGATAGGCTGTCTGTGTAGCTTTGGTCATATGTGCTTGACTCGATCAACCTTCATAATTGAAAGTTTGGTCAAGTAATAATGTCTTCTTGCGGAAATTATAGGCTTTTTCTTTTTCAGCCTTTTCATTTGATTACGAAGCTGATTCTTAATCAAATAAGTGTATCTACAGTCATTTTAATGGAATCAGTCAAATCTATATCATTATAAAGAATATCTTGAAGATTCCTAGGAGTAGGAAAGATTTTAGATCTATCATGTCATCTTTATGTAATGAGTCATGGTTGGTGCGGACCTGTGGATTGAGTAACAGGTCGGATGCCTAAAGATTAATAAATTAGTTCAGAGATGAAGGTGCAGAAATATTACTTGACCATCGATGTCGGCCTTTTGGCATCTGATTTGTGCCTTTTTTATCATTGTTGCCCATTAGTGTGGACTCCAAGATGAACTCGATGGGGAAAATAATTTTTTACTATTCCAAGAATTTCATTTTAGATGGCATCAATAAGATGGTGTGTGATTTATGCCACTTTTCTGTCAGCATACCTTTTCTCTGAGTTAATCGATCTTTTACAATTTATTTAAATGCAAGAAAGGACTCAGCTAGCTAGAGCAGAAACCAGTGCTGATTTTTCAGGTAAGCTCACTGAGAAGAGTGATGTTTGCATTTGGAGTGATCTGCTGGAACTTGTGATGGGAAGAAAGCCGGTTGACAAAACAGCACCATCTCAATGCTAATCACTTTTGACTTGGGTATGATTCCTGAAGTTTTGTCTCATATAGTGATGTTCACTTGGTCTTATCAATGGGAGGTATCAACAATTTAACAATATTTTCTGTCTCTCAGTAGTCGGAAACACAGTGGATCTCAAACACTGGTATCAAGCTTGTCATCGGGCTGATGTATAGTGCTCTCTGATCTGTCAGAATGTTCATTGTTGATGAATATATTAGGTCAGGGTGGAGGCTGCTGCCGTAGCTGTATTGCTTGTCAACTCCAATATCTAAATCTCTTCATTGCAGATATCCCCTGTTCTTTTTGTGTATTGTACATGTATTAGCGAGCTTTCTGTATCACTTTTAATCGAATTTGGTCACTTGTACAGTTGAGAGGAGATAGATTGCTTAAAGGAAGAACCGTTTTGTCACACCTTGAAGACGAATATGTGGCTTGCATACAATTTATGATGACATGTTTTTTCTTCAGAAAATGTTAAGGAAATTGAGTTACTTCATTCCAACACTCGAAATACATGGTGAATGTGATCTTTACATCTAAAACACTTTTGTCGACAATATCTTTTAGGACAAGATCGGACACCAGCTTGTGTATGCCAAGTTGAAAACCTGCAGGGGATTTGATTTGATCCTACTCTGCTATGCACATGATGCCTAACTGTTTCCAATGTGATTAATACATTTGTGCAGCTGCTACCTGGATTCACCTAATTTAGCTTGTAAAGAATAAGATAGATCATAATCTGTCTTCACACACATCCTTTGCAGATTGAGAATGCAATGTAATCCCAGTGACCTTGCATCTCAAGTTGATGCCAAGATAATGATCCTTGAAAGATATGGATATAAAAGCAGCAGAATATAACAGGAAGAAATAATTTTTGTTCACATAAATTAGACATTCGGAGATCCAAATTAGAACCAAGCCAATACAAGCCTATGTAATCAAGTCAGCTACAACTCTACAGCATAAGAACTTGGCCGCCAAGTCAACTTGTATTCTAGAGCTTTAGAGACAAGTCAAGCTTAGGCAACTCCTCACCACCACCGCCGCCACTGACACGCGGCTTCCCTCCCACTGCCGCAGCCGCCTCATCGAACTTGGCCGCCACCTGTGCTCTTCCTGTGCCGTAGAACTCTTCCGTGAGCAGCCGTCCTATGGCTGGTTGACGATCGGCCATCGGAGGCTGCGACCACGCGTGTCGCCCGTAGATCAACGAGGTACCCGCCGCCGACGTTGGTGCTCCGGTATACGGCTTATGAATCATCGAGTGCACCTGGATGTCAATCGGCCTGCCGGCGTACAACCCTTGTCGGGGTAAGTTTGCTAGGTTTACCGGAAACCTGTAACCGGCTCCACTAGCGCCGGCATGATCACCGAACGCCACGGCTGCGCCACCGCGCTTGGCAAGGTTGCGCTCGCGCTTGTGCGCGTTCTGGTGCCCGCCGAGCGCCTGAGAACTGTAGAACTTCCTCCTGCAGTAGTTGCATGAGAACACCCGCGGCTCCTCCTCCAGCGGCTCGGGGTTCGCCGAGGCAAGCGACCCGATGAGGTTGAGCTCCAGCACCGGTAGCGACGAAGACGATGACCCGTCGATCGCGTCGGTGTCGGCCTTCGACCCTTCCCGTTGAAACAGCTGCTGCGTACTGTGTCCCCTCTCTTCTTCCTTCTCTCCTCTCTTCTCCTCTTCCTCCTCCATGAGATGCCAAGATGACGAATACTGATCCACCTCCTTCTTCTTCTGCCGATGAATATAAAGAGAGAGAGTGAGAAGGCATGAGATGGCAAGGGATTCAATGCAATCTCCCAAAGATCAGAAGGATATCTAAAAGAGCGGAGAGAATAGCATACAAGGAAACTTACACAGTAGCTATTAATCTCTCCGACACTCCCTCCTCGCCTCTCTCTCCTTCTATCTCAAGGCATAAAGAACAACATGAGCACGACGCGTGCATGGCATTTATTTACTACATGAGATATGATGTTTATTTTCAACTTAGCACAAAGTCCATACATGGATGGAAACACATTACAATTGGGTGATTACATGCTTGTTTTGGGGCCAAGATTTTTTGGGTGGATATCTCTCTAACTTAATGTTTGCTTTTGCTTACTTTAACATTGCACACGTTTCATTTATTTTTTGAGGAAGAGTTGGTGATTAGCAACGTGCATGAACTTGATCCAGTACTTAAAAGTGCATGATCCTGTGAATGTGTGTCTTTATTAGGAAGAATACATCCGAATCTATTAAATTTGTGGGTGATTGCATGGATATACGTGAGATTCACTACACGTAAAATATCCGCTCGCCTTGGTTAGAAAAGGATAGTGGAGTTTGTTATGGTTCTATGTGTAATTAGATTTTTTATGCTCAAACAGAGCTCAGTTATAGGTTTAACTTGCCATGCAAATATTGATTAGGGAGGAGATGATACTGTAACAACAATAATAATAAAATCATAAATCTTAATTATTTAACATCGATTATATAAGATTTTTTTAATCTATAACATAGTTCTTTGGATTTTATCAACAACACTTCCTCAGCATGTTTAACTTTTTCAATAAAATAAATCTTAAATCAAATAATATCGACTATCCATATTTTTTCTACTCACTTGATCTTTTAAAAATAAGTAATATTTATTCTTCTTTTATCATAATATTTGCCAAGTTTAATTTTTTTTTAAAAAAAAATTTATATATTTTAGGTTGCTATCATAATCTTTAACGAGAGAATTCTTGTATACTTTGCATCGCATCTAGATGCATCTGCAGATGCAGATGCAGATGCGATGCTTTCAGACAACCTCCCAACCTTACCGTTTGTAATTTGAGACATGTAAATAGTAAAGATGCCTCACATCTTATTCTGAGTAATGATCTAGTTCTATGCTATGCTATGTTCATATTTATAAGATTTGACATAGTTTAATGCTAGTTGTTAATGATTTAATATAATTTTTTATTTTTTTATCCAAACTCAAGATGGAGATTGATAGTGTTAAAGACCGTAATACTATTTAGCATAATATAACCTAGTTACCGAATTAAGATAACCGAAGGAGAAGAACAGTTTGAATTATCATCATACTAAGATTTATACAAAAAGAATCACATAATAAATAATTTTAAATAGGGTAACAAATAATCTAAAAAAATTAAGCTACCAGAAATGGTCCAATAATTTACTTTGCACCTAAATAACTAATTCCGTAGTTATTCTTTTGTACGATTCTAAAAACTATTTACTAAATATCATATTAAATTATGGGTCCCATCACGCCACTAATTATTTCACATGTTCTTTCTATTTTGCCCTTTTTCCTTATTAGTAACGATACGAGGGAAAGAGGCTGGGAAACACCGTTAACACATTTCCTACGCGTTTCCCGTCTACCCAAGCTGTGAGTGGCAATGTCAGCGGGCCCCGCGCGCGACCGCTGCTCCGACTGCGACCGAGGTGGGTGAGACGGGCGATTCAGGCACGCGTCGTGGAAAGATGCGGGGGGAGAGGTACTGAAACGTCTTTCCATCGACGATCTCCACGCGTCCCTCTCACCGACGGCTGTAGGGGCCCCACACCTTCGTCCTCCGACAGTCGCCACGTCGTCTCGAGTACAATTAACCGGTTCCTCTAATGTCTCAATGAGAGAGCGCTCGAGTCCCGTCACCGCCTCATCACTTCCCAGCCCCCACCCCTTCGTGGCGACAAGATTGGAAAGATCTTTTAGGCTGCCGTTGCTTCTGCGACGATCTCTGCCTTTCTGATTTTATTGCAGGAGAATGATTGGCGAAGACAAGAGCTTTCTGATTTTATTGCAAGAGAATGATTCATTGGCAGACAGAAGAGAGGCTCCAGATCTGATAAGGAAGGCTTTGCTGCAGATTTTGATTGGGAGGAGAGGGATGCGGAAGAGAAGATGTGATTTTATGTGATGAGGAGGCGGAGGAGAATGGGTGGTTGACAGAAGAGAGCGAGCACACGGCGGGGGGAAATGGTATGGTATGATGCTGTTTCCGTTGCGTGCTCACTTCTCTTCCTGTCAACCCTTGCTATCATCGTCGCATGCTCTTGCTCTCTCTCTCTCTCCCCCAGCGAGGAAAAGGGGAAAAGACGTTAAAGATGATATCTTTATCTCGGGAAATGGCTACGCGTGTGGCGATCGCTGCGTTCTCGATTCATCAAAATGGTTGTTTATTATTATTCATTAACATTGCCCTTGCTGCAGCCGGTCGTCTCCCTTTAATTTCTTGTCTTTGATATGTGCGTCAGTCGTCGCGAGAGGAACACCGCGACGGATGATTTCCGACGACGATGGTGATGTAATCGCTTGTACATACGGCTCTCCGAATGATCCTTATCCTTTCTTTCTTTTGTGAGAGGGTAGGGAAAATTATGGGGAGAAGCAGAAACTGAAGCCGTGGAACCCTGAAAAAAACGTGGCTTTTGAGGAGCAGAAGGGGGCGACCGTCCACCTCTCTTCGGGAATCGGATCGGGTCGGATGAAGGTGGGTAGGGTTGCGTACATGCATCTCCCGTGCACACTGTGCGGATCTACGGAAACCACTGTTCGGATGTTCTTTTTTCCTTTTTCTTTATGTCATCCTTTGTGCTACGACTCTCTGGAAGCATCTTCGTCTCTCTTGTTTCCTTTCTATTCTCTTTGGCTAGGGGTTGTTCTGGGCGTTTCGATGGTGGCTGATTGAGGTACCAGATCTGGATTTGTTTCTCCCCAACATTGTGTGTTCGTAGAACCAAGATGGAATTTTGGCGAAGATCCTGATTCGTAAGCACCGTGTTCTTGGTATTCTTGTTTTTTATTCTCTATATACCGCTTTAATCTTTGTTCTCAAGGTCTCGTTTTTGGGCTTGTTTTAGACGCCAGGGCTTCTTGTTGGGTTCCTTTAGGGTCCAAAAGAAGATTGTTCCTCGAATCTTTAGCTGTCTCTTGTACTGGGATTGTTCCTCTTTATTATTTTCTTTGTTCTCGGCGTTTAGATGGACTGGCCGTGGAGGATGGAGGAAGCAATAGGGTGAAAGTAGCGACATCTCGTCTTTTTTAGTTTGAGGTTTCCATATTTGTGGTGATATAGTGGTCGCAGTACCTCATTCCATGTTGGTTGCCTCCTTGCTTTTCTTCGTTTGGTTTAAGTTTCAATAGCTTTTGACCGCAGAAGTTAAATGAGTTGTGCATATCTTGATCTGTGACATCGCTTTAGCTGCATGAATGCCTTTTTTTGTGCTTCTTGCTCGACAGTAGCTTTTGTGTAAAGGACTGTCACAGATGAGCTTCTTTATGCCGCGAGGGCTTTCGAGGAAGACACTTCCTTTTAGTTTGTGGTCCATGTTGTGGTCCGGTCCTTCATTTTATTCGTTCTTCTGTTTCGAGGTGAAGAAATGAATCAGTGGTTCTCTAGCACGTGTCATTTTATCGAGGAACTTCTTCATGCTTCGGAGGTAAGCCAACTCCACTGGATTTTTTTGGCCTGCCAATGTCGTTTTTCACTCTTCTCGATATTTTGTTTACCTTTTTAGTTACTTTAGGATATAATTCTTTTCTAACTTGAGTCCTTTCTTGGGAAATTTTTGTCGTGTTTGTTTGGCATCTGGAAATTCTAACTACGTTGCTGGTGTAGGTCACATATTGATAATAGATGTCTTTTATAAGGGTTTGGTGAATTGTGGATATGATGTGAAGGCTATAAGTGGATGGTGCCAGTTAAAGTCAAGTGTTACGCAGGTGAACTGTCAAGTTGAGGTCTCGCGAAGATCACAAAGTGTTGTATGTATGAGCAAAACTTATTTTATCTAAGTTATGGTATGTCTAGATTCATTTTCCATTGGTTGAAACTACTACATGCTAGTGTAAAGGTGGATGTGATGCTTTATGTTTGCATTGACATTTTTGAAGCAAGGAGCTGCACTTTTTTTCTCAAGAAGAAGTGAGGATTTTTAACCAATTGAAAGAAATTTGGTACTAGCAAAACCAATTACATCAATAATCCAAACCATGAGTCATCAACATATCAAATAAGAATCCCAAGTCTCATTTCAGTCGGTAGCTTTAGATAACAACTGAAACTTTTTTACGAATTACAAAAATATAACACAGCTTTTTACCTATCTTCTTGATTTGTATTACAAATCAACATTTCCCAATGAGGGCCATTGTCATAAGATATCTGGATATACTGGACAAAATGATGGTGCTTTTGAAGCGTCTGATTTCAAGATTACATCTTTTGTTGAAGTCTACCACCTTGGCCGGCAGTGCTTTGACTCTGTAGGTATTGATCTTCTTAGGGTTTTTATGTTAGCACCATATTATGATCAATACGAGGAGCTTTTTTTCTTAGAACTGGAAGGTTGTGCATTGTATAGTTATTAATCTTGCATGATGTATATTTTTCATTTTTTAAATACTGATTAGTTCTTTTGAGATCATGATACATGTGATATAATGAGATGTTGTCAACATCCAGTCCTGAGTTCTACAGATTGATCTCTCAATTACATATTATCCTCTTCATTGGTCTGACCATTGTGACAGATTTCTTCAACTTATGGTGTACTTGGGTTACTCTCTTGAGACTCTTAAAAGAACTTTTGAATTGGTAGCTGTTGGAACCTTCATATCGTCTCTACTGAAGCCTGATAATATTGCACAGCCATAATAAATCATGTTCTAAAGGATCGGTAATCTCAATCTAGATGGATCAGTTTCCTCAGCTCCAAGAGACAATATCATGTAATGCTTTGACACTCTATAAGGTTCTTGGAAATAGATCTTTATTGCGGTCTTTAAATGTTGATAACTGCCTGATTACTAATCCTCTCTTGTTCGAACCATGACAAAGATTATGCATGACCAGGTCTCCTAATCCATTCATGATTAGCTAGTTCACCTTTGATATGTTTGTTTAGTATCTTAAAACAACTATCTTATTTGTGAGAATTTTTCTGAAATACTTCTATCACCCAAAAACAGTTGAAGTTTTGCTCTCTTTATTTTTACACCTATTCATGCTTAGGGCAGTGGTTCATACTACGTTGGTCATCAATTAATTTGCATCCCTGGGGTAGTTCTCACGCTCATTAATTAGTTCATACTAAGATGGTTGTATGTCAGGTAACTTTTAATGGGATGGTCCATTGTAGAATCAGAAAGAATAACAAGATCAATGTGTCAGATAACTTTGGATGCTCACTAACTTATTGATCTATGTGATCAGAGATTGATGTTGGCATCACAAGATTTTATAGGTTAATGTTACTCCAGTTTTAGTCTAAGGATGTACAAAGTTCTCAAGTTCTAACTTGATTTAATTAGTTTAAGAAGCTACTTTTTTCCTTGGCTGACGAGCAGTGGTGATTTGATTGAATCCTAACAAACTGAGCATTAGCTAATTTTGAATTTTGTTATGTCAACAAGTCATTGGATGTAATACCATATATGTAGATCAATTGATACACTGTCTTAGAAAGAAGAAACTTTCCGAGATAGTCTATCTTAGTGTTGGCCATATACACAAAATTATAAGTATAAACATATGATTCTAAAAGAAAATGGTGACATCTATTATTGAACAACATACTCATTACATTCATACGTAAATTGGATGATCCTTATAGCCTCTTTTGTTACATTTAAGATTGGAATTTGCGTTTAGCCTTGTTAATCTTTTTTAGGCATTGAAGAGGAATATAAGTGTTTTAGCCAAGGTTAGTAGTTTCAGGTATTGGACCCATCTTGGAGATATGTCGAATCGGTACATACTGATTAGTACCGATGTAATGTCACATGATACACCAGTATGTACCAATGGAGAACAGAATAGGAAAAAGGGGAAAAGAAGGAGAGGAAGTGGTGAAGGAAGACGGAATAAGAGGAGAAGAGGTGGGAGCATATCGAGGAAGAAGGAACGTGGGGCAATGGCATGATGTGATAGTGACAATAGTGTTTGGAAGCAGCGACGGTAAAGCTGCAGTTGCGACAACAATGATGGCAATAATGTTGTAAGCGAGAAGACGGCTCATGTTCGTGAGCCCTAATTTGTTTCTTTTTCTTTTTTAATGGCAAGATGGATGGGCCCCATCATTTTTCTGATTTTGTTATTATTTTAACTGGATCATCCAAAACGGGGGTGGTCCGCGTATTTGCTGTTGCTCAGATTGGTACATATCGCCTGTACCACATCGGTTCGGGCGGTACAACAATCCTTGGTTTTAGTCCCAATAATCCAATCTACTTTGCTATATCTTGGCATAATGTTGTTGAATTCCTTTGTAGTCTTTAATTTGGGATTAGGTATAAGGTAAAAGCACACTTGACCATTAAAAGTTGATGGTCCTTTGTTGTCACAATATCTGTTTTAAAGTCATTTATGATCCTAAAAAAAATAATATCGTAATAATGTTTTGTGCACACCCATCAAACAAATAGTAAAATTTTCTTTTATTTTATCATGTAATCTAAAAAATATTTGGACGAAACTTTTCCTTGCAGCTCTGCAAGAAAATATGCTTGTAGTCTGTGCTACATTAATATATACTGTCCTAGTAAGTGAGACATGAATATGCCATAACTGATAGCTTGTTCTAATGGCATTGTGCTTGAGCTGTTGCATATTTTATACATTTGGTGAAAAATGGAGTAATAATAATTAAAACAATGGAAAATTTCAATCATCTTTATGTTGTTAATCACCAACTTGTTCTCATTTGTTCATTTGGATTGAATCAAGGGTCATAGTGTGATTTATGGGTCTTGAGTTCTGTGAAGCACTGGCAATCATAAGTAAATGCAGAGGTTTATAATCATATTGTCATGGGTTTCATCCTATTTATTACTAATTAAATGTATGGAATTAATCTTTACAAGGTTCTTGTGTGTTAAGATGATTATCTGTAGCTTAAACATCAATGACACTTTTAATTTATCCTTGAAAGCTTTGAATAAGGCTGTATGTTTATCAGCAAGTTGGACCGGTGACTTAATTTTGAAATAGAATCTTGAATCAAATCCAAGCTGCAATTACAATTCATCTGCCACATTCTGGACCAATTTCAATTAAATTATCATAAATTGTCATGATTAAATTTCTTTTGAGGCGATTAATTGTTTGGATGTGTGGAAGTAGTATTAGGACCTTCAAATTTGTAATTTTTACTAGTTGGTTGTATCTGAAATGGTGTCGAAAAGGTTTTTCTTCTTGTGTTTTATATTCGAAAAGGTTTGGTAGATAGCTGAACAGTGAATAAGATTCTTTGTCCTTGTTGAGATGTCAAATCAAATGATTGAATAAGAACACCCATCAGATCTGTGTCAAAAGAACATCTAGCATTGGGTTTTGACAATTGACCCCAATATGATTTGTGACAAAATCTAGCATTGGGTTTTGACAATTGACCCCAATATGATTTGTGACAAAATATCGTTTGTATCAATCTTGGTTAAGATGAAAAATCAAATGACTGAATTTAGCAAAGAAGCTCAACCAGACCCGCATCCATAAAAATATCTATAATTAGATTGGAAAAAGGCTTGGCGCTACTTGAACTTTGTCTAATTGAATATGATTTGATCAAATGGATGCACTACCACCATTCGAAGTTTTTGAGAAGCATAATTTAGGTGTAATTTACAATTTTTCATTGACTAATTCACATCTAGATGAAGCTACAATTGAATTCGAGAGCCTTGAACTCACAATGAACAGTGTTAACTAAATCTGAGACAAAAATTAAATTATATGGATCTCGATTTGGATCTGATAAAAATTTCAGGTTACTTTATTTTTGATCTGACCTTTTGGATATGCTGACCCCGAACATGGTAGCTGTGTTTTTTCCTGATGATTGGATGATTTTGTTAACCTCCATCCATTGGCTAAATTGTATAGCTGATTGTGTTCTCAAACTTTCTGAAGAACATCATCAATCACCATATTTTCACTGTGGATAGAGGATTTTCACATCATAGATTAATAAATAAATAAATTTTACTTGATTGATACAATTCCACAGGTTCTCCTTACATGGAGCACGGAATAATTTGTCTTAATATTTGTTTGACAGGTATTGTCAAGGTATGAGACTTGCTAATATGTATAAAGGCTGACATATTCTGAGTCCCAGCCATATGTAGGCATATCAAACATGGGTTAACGTTGTGGGTGCTGTTATCATTTTGCCAAAGTACATTTCAAGCTTTTACGATAAATGTTGATTGTTATGATGATCCTCCTATTTGTAGTTGCATTTGGTTATGTAAGGAATGTTCTCAATGTGTGCTAAACTATATTATAAGGCAACTTGAACTAGTTGGTTATTCTTTTTTGTCTCATAAGTTTATTGCATAAATATGACCATACCATCATATTTGATGCAAATTCATAATGAACAGTATAAACATGGCATGTTGACAAGGTTGATAGAGTCACCTAAATTGGAAGTAGTTTAAAATGTGACACAAACAGAACATGAGACATGAGCATCAAATCCCATGGCACAATTCAGCTTGGTGATACTATGATTAATATGGCATTTGTTGTTGCATCTCTGTATCTTTTCTTGATGAAGTGATCAATGACCTGTTCTGGCAAAATGAGTACTAATATTATGAGAAGAGTGAGTATGATGGCACTGTTGTCATTATTTTAGATGCTTCACTTAGGATTTTAACCTGTATCAGCATTTGGACCTCATAATTTTGATGAGTTTGTTATCTATACTTGTGAAAGATTTGTCTTCATATTAGTTTCATTGGAATTCTTCACATTAAACAAAAGCCCTGTTGCATTGTTTGCCTTTGGTTACCTCAGACTGGTTGCCATTCGGTGATTTTGTTGGGAAACCGTCTTCCATTGTTACTTCCAATTTAGTATTTGGAGAGCATCACTTGCGAACTCGTTTATGCTACAATTCAGATTGTCCATGCAACATGCTTCTTGATAATCGTAATTTCATCACCTTAACGATTAGGTATCGGGAAATAGCGAGGAAGATGATTCAGAGTATCTGTTGTGCCCTTAAAAGTATGTTTATCTCACCAGTCTCGGTCACCTGGAATGTTGGAAGTGCAACCTGCACCCCTTAGCAGATAAAGTACAATTTTTCATACATCAAAACCAACACACGAGTACTTGAGATGGGATATTCTTTGATGTATAGAGAAGATGGAAAAGGCAAGAGAAGATATTCTTAATTACTTCTTATGGAGCAGGTTAGAAATGATTTATGTTATCTTTGCTTCATTGTTGATGTCTGCACAAATGAGATTGTGTCTAGTTCATATAAAAATTTGCAAGGATACGAGCATTTGAGCTATTCCATTTTCACTCAACTCTCTTCTGTCTTGAATGTCTGACTAGAATTTCTTTAGGTTTAGTGATCAACCTATCCAATTTCATGGCTCATATGAATTGGTCGTATTAAACAGGAAGAAAGGTGCTGCATTATGCTAAACTATGTATACAGCCACAGCTACATTTTTTCGACGTCTACTCCTGTGCTCTGGTTTCCACATACACTAGTGTTTGAATATACTTAATGACCATAAAAACATTTATTATTTCTTATACGGTCTTTAACATCATATTGGGTTTATAAATTTCTGGCAGCTTCAGAGGATTCACAAGTGAACAAACGAAAGCAGGCATAAAGAAAAAAAGAGGGATGCATGGATCAGGGAGTTTGGTGGTGCTCTTGTAAGCATGCATCTCTGCTATTGTGGAAGAGGAGGACAGTTGGGCTGAGGAAACAGACGAGAGGGGTAAGGAATACTACAGTTGTGGCTGGTCATACAAGAACACCAAGTGCATGTGCTGCCTTTTATCACTTTGGATGATCATGCTATTATTGTACTTTTTGTTTGAGATTTTTTTTGAGGGTTCCTAGTTTGTCAGTTACATCAATAATCTTGGTTGAACTTCCCATCTTTTGTGGTCATGTGATTGGTATTGCTATCTAAATTTGTTATTGGTAGTCAATCATTTTTTTTTTATTAGTTGTTCTAAGGAATCTGACTTGTGTTTTTCCTCTTTATGTGTTTTTCTTGTGCCTATTCTGCCAATGTGTATGCCTATCTATATAGATCAGATACTTGTCTCTTTTTACTGGTGGATTTAGTTTGGTGCCCTCCCTAGTGATGGAAACCACAAAAACATTACTTCATCTAGTCTTTTTAAGTCCAACAACTTTTTATGTACTGTTATTGATAATTGTCATTTACGTGTTAGAAATTAAAACTCTCTCTTCTTCTAGTTTGTCCATAAATGAGAGATTAGTCACCAAAATTTATGCTAATTTAGTTATGCAAAAGTTTAGTCGTACCAGATTGTCTTATCCTCCTATATTTAGACGGTTTCATTTAGCTTCTGGAAAACCTTCAGAACCCTCTGTTGTCTCCATAAATAAATTAGATGCAATAGATTGAATGTAGGTGCAAAATAAACGAAATGTATAATATAATGACGATGTAACACTCGAGTAAAATGTACTTGAAAAAGTAAGTGCAGCAATTCATAAAGAGGCAATTAAATAACAGTAAAATTGTGTACACTATACTGATATTAACATATTGTTTAATGCACTAGTCCAACTACGTTATTCTCAGAAGAAAAGTTTCCTATGTTACTACTGTACGCGGGTCAAACTCCATCCCGATGACGTCTGTCGCCTGCCGTTTCCTCCGTCTACGTGGTTCTTCAAGCTGGTTTTTCACTTTCTAGGCTGTAGATAACTGACGGCAGACTGCCGTCCGTCATTTCCAGTCAAAAGGCGAAAAGAAACCCCCTTCTCTCCATCTCGCCCGCTCGCTCGTTCGCTCGCATGTAAACTCATCCCCCCTCCACCCTCTCTCTCTCTCTCTCTCTCTCTGTCTCTCTCTGCGAAGTTGCAAAGACAGAAACCCTAGGAAGGATTTCGTAGCTTGCATGACGGAGGAGAAGGCGAGCTCGTCCGACGAGGGCGCAGGCCGAGCGTCTGTTGATCTCGGAGTTCCCGTGGCGGAGGAGAAGGCGACCTCAGACGGCGGGGACTTGGGAAGAACGGCAGTCGATCTTGAAGCTTCCATGTCAGACGAGAAGGCGAGCTCTGCCGGCGAGAAGGCCGGAAGGGAAGCGGGCGGTACGTCGACCCTGCCATCCTCCGACGCGGAGGAGCATCTGCCCGCCGATCGCGGCGCCGGTCCTGCGGCTGCAGCGGAGGGCGGTGCCCCCGACGCCGCGCCACCAACGCCGAACACCGGCGGCCGGTCTTTCTCGCAGCTCTTGGCTGGCGCCATGGCCTCGCCGACGGGGAGCCCCCACCCGGCGCCGATCGTGACCGTCCCTGTGGTTGCCGTTCCGTGCTTCTTGACTCCGGCCGCGTTGATCGAGTCGCAGGGGTTCGCGGTTAGTGGCCCTGAACTCTACCTTCATCCAAATCATTGTTTCTGGATTTTGCTAGGGTTTATAAAAAGGGTTATATTTTTAACATGTCTTACTGTGAATTTTGCTGAATTTTAGGGTTCGTAGATTATATCTCTTTGCTTGTGTTACTTTTGTTATTTAGATTTAGGATTTTAGTGAGATGATTGACTTCCACATAAGAAGGGTTCTCTGGAAACCTTATGTTGCTTTTTTTCCCAGTCTTGTTGGTTTTTAAACTCTCTTTTTTCAGATCAAATGATCGCACTTTTATTGCTTCAGTCTAAAATTCGGTGTATATATATATATGTATATATATGTATATAGATGTGTATATGTATATATGTATATATGTATATGTGTATATGTGTATATGTATATGTATGTATGTATATATACATATACATACTTACATATATATATATATACATACATATATATATATAATGACATATAGTAACTTGATGTCATACCTATCCTCTGTGGTAAGTCTGGAGATCGATTTTATATCCATCTTGAACTTTTATTAAATCTTGATTAGTTAAGCCTTTTCCAGTAAAAAGGGGACCAACTTTATTTCTATCTTGCGATATATAATGAAAACAAAAACCTACAGTCTACCATCTGCCTGATCTTAACATCGAAACATGCAGGATAGTTTAGTCAAGTAATGTTCTTAAAGCATCCACTTTACTTGAGGCCTATAAGATTAGGCAATCTTCAGTTCGGAAAATCAGATAATGCAGTTAAAATCCTATCCAAGATTATTGACTATTTCATCAATTCTTTAATTTATCATTTTTCTCACCTTGAATTTTTTTAATGTGAAACCAACATGTGCCTTATTAATGTGTTATATTTGATATAATCTCACAAGAAACATTGGTAAGTTTTTCCTATTTTATAAAAGTATAAATCAGAGGACTCACTTCTACCCTTATTAGGAACCTTGGCAGGTTAAGAACTTCTTAAAAGTACAATAAGTATAATTTCTTCTACCCTTACTAAGTCATGATCATTTTGTGAATGAAATTCCATGAGTTCCAGTTATTTATTTTTTTGTGGTCTTCTACACACTGCAACTGTTAATATCTATGTTTTCATGATCGGCTCTCAGCCAATGAAGACGATTTAGGAATGTTCCCAGAACAACTTTTGCTAGAACTTTATTGTGCCATTTGATATATCTTTTTCTTGGTGCTTATGTTCATCTGTTCTTTGTTCATGATTCAAAAATAGGGGCAGTTCGCGATGACTCATCAAGCAGTATTGGCAACTGTCACAGCCCAAGCACAGATGCAACTGCAAGCTGTATGCTCTTCTTCTTCACCAAAACCAATCGCAGATTCGTTTCCACAGCCTATGCTATCTACAGCCAGCCCCATACCATTGCAACAAATGCCACCTCCAACACCTGAGTTAAATGTCTGTTCACCAGAAAGGCAGGAACTTGGTTGGTTTCAAATCTTAACGTAATCTGAATCTATTCATTTTGCTTGTGTAGAAAACTTCAGGTGATGTTTATAACTGGCGGAAATATGGGCAGAAGCAAGTGAAGAGCAGCGAGAATGCACGAAGCTACTATAGATGCACAGATTCCAATTGTTCAGCTAAGAAAAAAGTTGAACGTTGTCCTGATGGCACAATTATTGAAGTAATCTACAGAGGTAAACACAACCACGATCCACCTCACAAGCATAGGTACACAAAGGATAGAGGATCTCAGTCTGGTGGACCCCCTTTAGAGAATGATGGTTTAGAACATCCGAGCATCGGACATAAAGAATCAGATCCTTCATCATGTAAGACTGAACAGAAATCTAGCAATGAAACTCCTAAACAACAGCTGTATTGCTCAAGTGATTGTTTGTTGGACGTTGGGACCAAGAGTGAAGAGGATATAGTTGATGAACCAGATCCGAAGCGAAGGCAAGTAATTAAGGTATTCTACTTCAATTTTCTTTTCTGTCAGTTGTGTTTCATTTTTTTATTACTTTGTTGTGCAGGCTTTGTGAAAACTCAAAAAGTTCTTCAGCACCAGTTCTTAAAACAATTAGGGAATATATCGTACAGACTGAAATTGATGCAAGACATTTGACTGATGGTTATAGATGGCGCAAATATGGACAAAAATTTGTCAAGGGAAATCGTAATCCAAGGTATACACTTATCGCAGTCTATTATTGTATCAAAGGTTCTAGCATAAGAAGCTTGCTTATGATGCTCTAAATGTTGCTAATACTCCATTAAGAGATTTTGTGTTATTCACACATATTTTAACTCTTTTCATGGTCTTGTTTAAAAGATAATTTCCTGTTCGTTATCATTCTATTCTTCCATCTTATTATGTGAAGTTTAATGCCTGTCATGTTTTAAAGGCTGAGACCCTATTAGTCTAACAGCTGGAGATGATATGATAAGGTGAATTGGTGTGTATGATTGACTTGACCAACTACAGCTAGTGCTAGTTCGGTCTAAATCCATGTAATTAGTTCCTAATGACTATAAACTATTTGGTTAAGTAGTCTTGCTACTTCTATGACAACCTGCATGGTGTAACCTTGCAGGCTCTCCATGTAAGCTAATACGTATCAAGATTTTGTAACTCGGGTTGATCCAGCCTAGAATCCTCAAAGTTGGATGCTAGGTTATGGGCAATCATGGCTGGGATAAATAGTGTTCATGATTTTAGGACTTCAAATGAGGTTTTAATATAGCAATGTTCCTGCATTGGAAGATCACGATAAGTATAGTTCACAATATTGATTGAATCTGATATCCAATTTTGATCAATTTAATTGGCCTTATAAATAAAATTGGTGAGGAATGACTGAATCAATTAAAATCAACTGGAGTTGGCTGATCTTGTTAATTATAACTGATTCATGGCCTCAATAAGAAGTGAGAAAAAGGGATGTTAGGAGAGGAAGGAGAAGAGGTAAGCAAAGATAGACACAAAAAAAAAAAGAATTAAAGGAGAAAACATTTAATATTGTTATTATCTGATTTTTTGTTACAACCAATTGTATTTATCATCTGCTACTGTTGTTGCAATATCTACCATGCACCATATGAGAGAGAAGGGATAGACAGAGAGTAGCTCTTAATTTCTTTAGAAAAAAGTATTGCTATCATAGAAAATGCAGATGTAATATAATTCTGAATTTGATCCCAAATCTTTTTTGTTTCTGATGGCATTGTGATTAGAGAAAAATGAGGTCATACTGGACTAATATTTATTATTAAACTTGCAGGTTGATAAATTTTGAATTTTTTGTATTATATATAACTATAATAATATCCTTACACATCATGGTTATTATTTCTATAAAAAACATATAAATTATAACAGTTATTTTTGATGAATTATTCTTTATTATTATTATTGGTTATTGTTATATACATTCTTATATCTTCTTTGTTTAAATATTTTTTAAAAGATACTTACCTTATTAAATATGAAGATAAAATAATTTCTAAACATAAAATATTTCTCTGATATTATATTTTATCTTTTCTTCCAAACAAAGGACAGTTAGGGGCTATCCAAGACCTAAATGGGAATTTTGGATTGTATAGAGGGATGAGAAATTCTTTCCTGCTGTTGCTCTATCTGATTGGATATGGAAATGCTATGTCAATTATCCAAACAATCACTAATGATGAGCCAACATGACATTATTGCTAATGAAAGTTGTAGCAAAGGCCAGATCCTAAAATATAGTTACTGGAACATTTGATCATGTGAATGGAGGAAAGAAAAATAAGCCAGAGCAATGTAGGTGGAAAACATCTTTTGAATAGAAATTCATCTCTCTGATGGATTAGACACTGGGGCATGTTGGTCACAGTATCAGCGTAATTTTATCACAGTATCAGATGTAATTTCCTTACAGAAAGAAATTATCAGCAGGACATGCAAATGCATGGCAAGATGTTTTGGTTGTAAAATATGAGTGCCACCAAAAGATAACAAACTTAAAATAGGAGGGAGAAGAAACTACTACAGACATGGCCTGGGAGATTTGACCTTATTATTATAGTGTATCATCTTGTATGTGGGACAGGCTCTTGGTCGCTAATTACAACATGAGTGCAACTGCAGTCCCCTGAACTTGTGAATGTCAAACAAGGTTTCTGGAAGCAACTATTAAATAATACTGGTTTGGCCGAAACAGGCTGATTGAACCTGTTAAAAGCTAATCAGCTAGCACACTCTTCAACTTGGATAATGAGTAACTTTTCATGCTGAATTGTAACTAATAGATAGTCTTAACTTTGAAATGAGCATATTTTTGAACTACACTATTGAGTGCAATAAACATATTCTGTAATAGTCGATGCATTAAATGCTCCTGTTTGTTGTTTGCAGTTTGATGATAATTGTCCAGCTTAAATTAATTTGACTTTGTTGCCTTTGATATATTGCAGGAGCTACTATAGATGCACCCATAGTGGGTGCCCTGTTCGTAAGCATGTTGAGAGAGTACCACATGATGCAAAAGCTCTTCTTATCACATATGAGGGCGAGCACAATCATGAACAGCCATCCTCAAAATATGCTAGTGAAACACTGTCTACCACTGCTAAAAGTAACATTGCAGCAGGGGTGGCTAGTGAACAGCTTGGTATCTCAGGTGTGCAGTCAGTCAAAAAATTGTCAGACAAATCACATCCAAATAACGTATTAAAGAAAGTAGTTAGTGATCCGGAATTGGAACTCGGAGGTGATCGAGCACTAGAATCTGCTCAAACTCTTCTAAGCATTGGATGCAGCCCAACTTCTGCGGAGGGCACTGCCGCAAGTAACTCCGAGTGCATGAAGAGTCCCATTTTCAAGGAAAATCCAGCTGTAGTGTCGGTGCAGAACACTTAAACAGGTTTATAGCAATTTTGGTGTATGTTGTTGCTTATTTACTTGTACTAGGAGCGTGCATTATTGTAGTATGTGCTTCTGTATAGTCTCGAGTGGCTTCACCGAAAGAATCATCTTAGTAACCCCCATTAACCTGGGGAAAGAAGAAGATACTGACTTCAGCTGTAGGACATGATTTTGTCGATGCTCAGTCAAAGAGTCTGTCTCCCAAGTAACTAACTTGTGTATGCCTTTGGAGAGTGTAGGGGACAATGTTCAACATCTGAGCCCCACAACATCTGGTACTTCCTACTCGGTGACTTGCATCAGCGTCTGGTAAGTTGATCATTGATCTACAATTCCTTTCTTTTGTTTTCTTGTCTCTTACTTTTATACTTTTTGCATGGTTTGCCAGAGCACGCCTCAGCGTTCGAGCTGCCTGCTGCACTGCAAACACAGGGTGATGCTCTGGACCAACCGACAAGGTGCAATCTCTCTCTCTCTCTCTCTCTCTCTCTCTCTCTATATATATATATATATATATATATATATATATAAAACTCAATTATTGAAGAGGTTGATCGAACTCAGATTTGCGTGCCAAATTCAAAGAACCCTCATTGATTGTTCATTCAAACGAGGATAGAAGAGTAGATATGATGCCAGGAACATTCCATCTATTTCAATCGGGGTTCGAGGGAAAAGACGATTGTTTCCTGGATGGGGTTCAGATATGGATTCGAGCAGGGAGGCAATTAACAGGTTTTCGGGAGAAATTGGTAGCTCGGTAAGCGTATTTGTAGGTGGTTCTAACCATAATTATCAGATTCGATCCGGTCAAATCTTGAATTGGTGGATCGATTGATCGAACCATATATTTCATATTTTTTTAATAACAAATAAAAATATATTTATATTAAAAAATATAAAATATATGCATAATATTAAAAAAATTATAATATAGTGAAAAATGATGGTATGAATGAAATAAACATATTGAAGGGATGAGATAGTAATAAATAGGGCATAATAAAACCCTCTTTCCAATTGTCATGAACAAAAGGATTTAAATACTCATGAGAATTTAAAAATATTAGATAATGAATAGAAAAGGCAAAAGCATTCAAATCTTTTTAAAGTTTAGATGATCCAATTAGTAAACAAAACCAGTTTGGAGTTTGCTTTTCTATTTTTGCAACTCTCTGTTTGGTATAGACTTAACCTTTTGAGTAGTTCACACTTATATTAAGTATCATATGAGCTACAGATGCCTAGTATTTTTTTTTTTTACAAGATGTGGTTTGGTTTTAAGTATATGATCTGATTGGTGAAGAAGCTTGCTATTGGTGAAGAAGTTTGCTAATGTTGCTCACTCACACAGTTTGACCTAAATATAGCCGTCCTCCTGAGGTCTGTCCTCTGAGGAGAAACAAAAAAAAAACAAGAGGAGGAGGATATTTTCATCTATTTATCAATTTTTTTAAAAATAGGATTATAAATAGTAAAAGGATGGTGAATAATAATCTCTATAGTAAAAAAAAAAGAAAAAAAAGAAATACGAATCGAAATCTCCATCTCGGTCAAAAGGTCTGATTTGTGTTTTTCCTGTTCGACCCATCTTATATTTGGTAAGCTCACAGCAAACAATACGTGAGTTCCCCAAGGAGTATGCACACAAAGGGATAATAAAAATGCACTCGGTGGAAAATATTAAGATGATCTCAAAACAATGACATGGCGACTCAAATATGTGACGACCCCCACACACTCAACACATCTCTTTTGTTAGATATGAAATTGCAAATATTGTTAACCCCTACCTTTCATCACATCCCAAGACATCGAAAGAAACACAGTTCCACATTCATCTCAGTTCACATGGCATGACAGGATGGATACATACAGACCACCGCGTGCCAAATACTTTTTGTGGAAAACGTTTCAGTAACAAGTAATACCCCCACAGATTACAAACTCAACATCTTCCATCTCGAGTATATGGAGCATACACTTTCCTCTCTCATCACATAGCATTGTTTTAGTGCCTATACCTAACCAGCTTCATTTAGGACATCTGAGATTCAATAGAGAAATAAATATCATATCAGGGTTTTAGAACCAAGTAATAGAAATATGGTACGACGAAATAGATATGCATCACACAAAATGCTCATAGATTCTCAACGATTAAATAACCCATTAGTTCCATGAATTGCTGGCATACTTCATGTTCTGCCAAGTCTGATATGGAATCCAGGACAAGCCAATCACCAGGAAATGGTTGTTGGTCCTTACAAAATCATGTCACCCAAATTGAGTGTTTTATATTTAATCCCAGTAAAAAAGAAGATCTTAATCAGATTGACCAGTGCAGAGGTATCTGATTAAAGATATCATGAGATCCATGAGATGATTTTGAGCTGGGCAAATGATAGATAGCAGAGCAATCATTTGTCCACCACCAAGTAAATTAAATGTGCCCACCACCAACCACTGAGAGGACAACACCAATAGCCACTGGGACCCGCAAATAATTCTGGACATGTGTTCCCTCACCTGCACAGGTAACAGATTTTGTTCCCTCACCCATCATAAAAAAAGACAAAGGCAAAATGATCCAACATCATTCTCCGACATGAAGATTGCCCTCTTTGCTTAAAACCAAGAAGCATAAATAAATCTAACAAACAATTTTATTCACACACACACACACACACACACACACAGCTGCTACCTTCTCTTCTGCAAGGAGTAAACCCAGCAAAAGCAGTATGAATTGTGTACACACAACTAGAGAACTCACCATCACAAACAGCTAGGAAATGCTTAGCTCATCCACATCTCTTGACAATTCCACAGCGATCCCTACCATCGGTTCCTGATCTGTACTGGTCTTATCTTCTACTTTGGAGTCGAGTCTTCCCTTAGCCCGATCAGCTTCATCTGTGCTCGAGGATGCAGCAGCTATGCACTCAACGAAACGGAAGCAGCTGATGAGGTGGTCATTCATCAGTCCAGCTACCTGCATGAAGGAGTATACGACTGTCGGGCCCACACTGCGAAAGCCCCTTCGAACCAAGTCTTTGCTTATGACATCTGCTTTCGGTGTCTTCACAGGAACCTGACGTGGATAGCGGATTTTGCTGACAATGGGTTTGTAGTTCACAAAGCTCCAACAGTATCTATCGAATGATCCAAGCTCATCTATTATCTGTCACAAATCAGAAAGAGAGCAGGAAAGCTAAGCGGTGAACCTATCATGACTCAGATTAGTCGTAGATCACATGTGCTTGTTTACTTATGTTTCAGGATGAGAATTTTCCAAAATTGACCAACTCGCATGCAATTTCTTAAACTTTATTTGGTGGGGTGCACATGCAATAACTTTCCTAGACAAAGAAATATGGATTTCTAGTTTGTGGCAACTATGATGCCAAATGACAAGAAAATGACAGGGAAAAGAAAAGTGAGTGAGACCAACCTTGAGTATCTGGCGTGCATTCTCGATGATGGCTCGCAACCTTGGCTCTGACAAAAGGGAGCTAGCAGTGCTTCCAGGCACTACAATCTTCTTCTCATTCAACTTAGAGACTGCAACAGGATCGAAGTCCAAGAAAACTTCCCTGAAATGGTGCTCTATAAGCACTAATAATGATGATATTTTGAATTTCCCAACAGTTGCAAACCAGTTATAAGCACTTGCAGTACCTAAACATGTGCCTTTTGCCAAGGATAACAGGCCATGTAAGCTCTGCTAATGCACCAGATAGTACAAGAAGTTCGAATAATTTCCTGTAGATTTTTTGGGGTTACCAGACACCATTAGTTCATACAGTCTAAACTAGAAAGTTTTGTTCTCTTGAAAAATCAAGAATAAAGATCACCATTGCGTACTTATCATCATGGACTGGAACTCCCCATTCTTCATCGTGGAAAGAAACATAACATGGTTCTGTTGAAACACAAAAGAATGAAAATAAAACTATGCCCAGATTTACTGTACATGAGCGTTTGAAGACATTCGTTTACAAAATAAGAAGAATGGTAAGCAAATCAGGGGTGAAGGCAACATGTAACTCTAATTAAGAAGCAATAAATAGTAGAAGACTAGGACAGCAAGCAAAGCATACTCAGATGTCACAAAATAAACAAGCCAGTCTTGATCCAAGAGTTACCAAAAGGAAGCTTAGATATGCCATAGTCTAGGTCAAGCAGAATATCACTTATTATTATGGATTATATTGATACTATGAATGGCGAACTGTAACGTGATCTGACAAAATTAGAAAAAAATTGAAATAGAAATTCAATACACTTGAAATGAATATGTACAATATCACTTGGATTATCAAGAAAATCTGAAGATTAGAAAAGCTGCATGCTGTAAAAAATCCTTTCTAGAAACAAAAAAACGTGATAATAAGTTACACCAAAGGTACACCTAAAAGGAATAGGAGAAGCAATTACTCATAAAAGAAATACCCATTATAATTCCATGATGTGCTATAACTTCTTAGAAAATTCTTGCTTCCAGACAATCTCTGAAACAGCTTAGGTTTGTTGACTTTCTAACTGCACAAATATTCAGCCTTTACCAGATCAAATTGAATCAGTGTCATCCCAACCTTTGCCAGATCTTTCCAGAAAGTTAATTCTTCGGTAACAATAAGCCTCAGAGTGATGCTAAGAACATAAAATATACTAGAATAAACAACTAATATTCAGCCAAAGTGAGTACACTCAAATTTTGGCATTATCCATAGATAGGATCAATCTAATCATGTATCAGATTCTAATAGAACTAGTTCGGCTCCACAAACAGCATCCTTTGCTAAGACTCATCTGGGTTCGGCATTGCCAACTCAGATGCATGAGGGTGAGATTATTAACACTTTCTCAATGTTCCTTAACAACAGTTCTACTCCCATGCACTCTACGAGTGTCCTTGTCCATTCTATTCTCCAATCAATTCACAAGTTAACCGAGCTTTTTTCCACCTAATATTGACATCTACCAAATAGAAATCCAGAGCACAAGTTCTCTTCCATTTTCTTCCCTGGTTGAGTGCAGGGATAAATAGGCACAACATCGTCAATGCTTCAATTATCATGTAACTTGAGGATTGTGGGCATCTGGCAGATGAAGCCTCATTACCCCTGTGCACTACAAGATCCTAGCTCAGTTGCCAAGAGAATAATCATGGAAAGAACAAAAAGAGGAGTGAGCAAGAAGTCCACAAGGACAAAGAATTTATTTCAAGAAAATAAAGAAATTCAAGCGAACCATTTTTTGCATCACTGTCCTTGGACCTCTCCAATTCTATCTTCCCTAGCCTCCCTTCTCACTTTGTCTCATTTTGGCTCACTAAACCCACACATCACTTCCTACAAAAAAGTGACATTTTTCCCCATACCGGGCTTATAGCAATGCAAAATTGTCACCAACCAAAAGCTTGCCAAGACCAACACAACAAGAAGTGCTTCTGACCATGTAATTGAAAAAAGACCATATTATAATGTAATAATACTTCTTTATAAAATCCTCAAACATTGTGATTCCATCAAGGATAAAAAATATTGCTTAGCTCCAGAAAAAAATGAAACAGAAAATCAAGGCATATTAGAACAACAATTTTGTGAGAAATCAGAACAATAATTTTTCCAGTAATCAGAAAGGTAGGGGAAATAAACAAACTCACCTGTATTGGGTGTCACCCAAGTACACTTCCGCTTCCCCTGCACAATTTCTGGTGGATGCATGGTTGAATCATCCGCAACATTCTTCTCCACCTTCGCCAAAATCTTGGCTGTCCTTGAGATACTCTCTCTCCGCTTGCTGGTTGAGCTTGTCCTACCAATCCTCCCAGTGGAGGCTCGGCTGCAAAAGGAGTCTGTGGATGCATCAGAGGAGCAAGAAGCATTCAGCGACAGGTTTGACTGCAACAGCATCTCATGCCTCCTAAGCGCTGAGGGAGCGCTTAAACTAGACCTAAGCTGTGGTAGATTCGCCCTAGGACTAGAAGCCTTCTTCTTCTTCTGCTTCTTCTTCTCATCAGCTGCTGCAACCTCAGTGCTCTCAGTTTTACTCGGAGGCTTCGAAGCTGGTTTTTGAGCGGTTGCCACTGACCTGGCCTTGTTACCGCCGGGTACAAGGACTGGCCTTGCATCGGGATCGGCCACATTGAGGGAACGGGCCTTAGGAGCTCCCGACATATCACCAAAATCCAAACTTTTCCACGGATCCACCACTGTGGCCCTAAACCTGGCCAAGACCCTTCACTTGCTGCAACAGAATCAAATGATAGTTCGAATATTTCATCGAGATTCTCAAGGCTCCTATCCGCTCGCACCACTGCACTCCTACGAACCAAATAGCCAGCGAAATCGAAACCCTCCACCCCCCAGCTTAAGCAAGGCCAAGGAAGCACCCCAGAAAACCCTTCTTTGACCCGCAACTTCCTTCAGCAGCACGGACCCCAGACCAACCTAGGGTTCCCAAGACAGCCATTTCCAATCTAACCGTCGAACGCACCACGAAACCCGACGAAGGTCAAAATCAGCGCAACACTGCCCAAATAGACAATATCGACACCAACGCGCGCGCATTCAGCGGCTCTTCGCCAGGAAACCAAACTGGAGCCCCGGAACCCTGAAATGGCCAGCTAAATCCAGAGAAGAAACTCGGAGTCAACTCAATGGAGGGCCGAGAGCCGATCGGAGAACAGGAATCCTTGAAGGGCACCCATGAGCTCTGATCCGGCGCCAAAAGGGCAGCGGATCCCGGAAACGGGAAGCGAAACCGATACAAGGAGTTTCCAAGATAGAAGAGAGAGAGAGGGAAAGAGAGAGAGAGAGAGGTGGCGGATGGCGTTTCACAGTGAATGAGAGAGACGCCGGCGCCGTTTAGTGTCCTAAAAGGAGAGACCGGAAAGTACCGGTGGGGAGCAGGTGGACAACCGGATATAGCCGGTGTCGCGGTTCCTTTATCCATTATAATATCACGATATATTAAAGGGCTCGTATTATTACAGCAATTGCCATCCAAAGAACCAATTTTTTTTGGCTAACAATACAAAAAAAGAAAGAAAAAAAAAAAGAAGAGTAGAGAATATTATGGAAAACCAATTTTGATTCCGATCTAGCTCTCATAAAGCCAAACTCCAACTAGATCCACTTATAAATGAACACAATCCAATCCAATCCAATCCAATCTACCGTGATGAAAGCCCACTTCTAAAATTCATCATGTCTTTATCATGTATGATGGGACATGATAAGTGTAAAATTTATTATGGAAATAACACCTTATTTAATTTAATTTTAATTATCACCTTACACCAAAGCAACAATTATATAAGTATACCATGATTCTATTTGTAAAAAGAATCTCGATTGTTGTTTTCCCGACCACAACATTATGAACATTATCAGTGAATCAACCGTGTAGAGATGATGGTAGAGAAAAAGTGAATAATAGCATTGTTACTAGAAAGCATACTATTTTATAATTATCATGACAGTAAGGGGACAGCAGAAGGTAATAGAAGGTAATAGGTAAGGGCAATAAGAGAATCTAAAGTAGAATAAGGTTAAAAAAAAAGGTCTTGAACAAGTGGTTTAGTAGTATTTCTATGTCTTCTTGACAGAGAAATACATCTAAAAAATAGTAACCATAGATAACTCGTAACATGCACAAACTTATCATAACTCGAATAGCTCTTCTTTTATCTTAAAACAAAATCCCAAACGTTTACGTTAATTGTCCGCTGACCTTCTTATGCCCGTAGATGATCCTAAAACAATAAAATAAAGGATTCTTATGCGTCGGACTGCCATTTCTAACTTATATAACCAGCTTTGAAAAACTGCATTATATGTTAAATTTTTTTGTTTAATTTTGAATTTTGATGATGAAATCAATCGATGAGTTTACGATCTAATATATATTTTGAGAAAAGTGACGTAGGATTAACTAAAAGGTAAAACAATTAAAATAAGAAGAATCAGAGACATCGGGCTGGAAGTCAAAAAAACGAGCATCGGGGCGGAAGAATCGAACATTGCGCCCAAATCGAATGTTGCGGGAGTCAACATGCCGATGGATCGGGCGACACGTCGAAGGTTCAGACGATGCGCCGAAAGTTCGTCGGGAGTTCGGATGAACAAATGACGTGCCAGACAATTAAGATTTCATGATTTATAATTGTTTAAGTCTTAATTATTTTAGTTAGATCTTAATTTGAGTTAGTTTTGGGAGTAATCCTATTAACTAAATTAGGGGCCAATTGGGCCTGATTTAGGGTTGAATTGGGCATGTTGTTTGATCCATTCGGTGGCATGTAGCTGTTGAATCTCAGATTTTGATGATGAAACTAATTGATTGTGTTTAGATATTTAACTGCATTTTGAGTGATGCAAGTCTACTCGATCAGGATTAGACAGTTGACGCAGGAGGAATTGACGTTGCGTCGGAGGAGATCACATCAGGATATTAGACGGTAGAAGGCTTCGGATGTCGGGCATCAGGCCAAGGAGAGCGGAATTGCGCCAAGGATATCGGGGTTGCGGAGGTCAACCACCGATTGGGCAACAAGTCGTAAGAGAGGACGATGGGCTGAAGAATCGGACGAAGCGCCAACCAATGACGTGCCAGGCAACAGAATGTCAATTCGCGTTATAATAATTATCTAGATCGGAGTAGAGTTTTGGCTTGTGTGTGCAGGATTAACTATGATAACGACGAAGACATAAAGCGAAACAAAGTGCCGGAGTCAAGCGCAAAGGATTCGTTGCGAGTTCGAGAGTTCGACGGAAGTCCGAAGGTTCATTGGGAATGCTGCTGGAACTAGCCGAGAATGAGTAGGGAGCTTGCCGAAGGGTTTTTCGGAAGCTCGTCGGAAGGTTCGTTGGAAGTTCACGGAGCTCGCCGAGAAAGATCGGAGCTTGCCGAAGAAGCTCGTCGGAACTCGCCAAGATCAAATCGTGAAGTCTAGGAGCTTGCCGGAAGTCCGCAGAATGGTTTCCGAGAGTTTATCGGAAGACCGTCGGAAGTTCATCGGAAGCTCGTCGGAAGAAGTCTTGACTTGCGAACTTTGTAATAGCTTAGGAAATGTCTTTAAATTCGTAGTTATCACGTTAATTAGGGTTAAAATTAGGTGTTAATCCTATAACCCAAGTAGGGGCCAATTGGGCCCGAGTTCAGACTGGTTTGGGCCAAGTTTGGAGCCCAACCAATGAGTTGAAATAGTGTAAGCGGTGGCACCGCCCAGAACCCGAGAACCGAGCGGTGGCACCGCCCAGCACCCGAGAGGTTCGGCGGTGGCACCGCCAGTACACTGTCAGTGTCAGACACTGATAGGCGGTGGCACCGCTAGCCTCGGAAACCCAAGAGAATTCAAAATTTGGAGCCCAAATTTGAATCCTCTTGGGGCCTATAAATACCCCTCAATTCTCAGCAGAGAAAATAACCTTTGAGAAGTTAGAGATTGAGATAAAGCTTTAGCAAAGTCTTTAGCAACTCTCGTTTTCAATAGCTTGAGTGTTCACCTCCCTCTTTCTCTTTGAAAATTTGTAAGAGTGTGAACCACTTGTAAAAGGTTGTAAGAGGGGTATTTGTCCTTCCCCTTCAAAGTGATTTGCTAGTGGAAGTTGGGAGCCTCATCGAAGAAGGCTTCGCAAGTGGATGTAGGTCATTTTGACCGAACCACTTTAAATTGGTGTGTCCTTTGAATGTGTGAGTTCTTACTTTCCTGAAATTATTATTTACACTACTGCTAGTTTTCAGTTTTCATCTACTCAAGTTACTATTGAAACGAAATCTCCTCGTATTTACGAATTCGTTTTTAAGCTTACAAGTTTTAATCCGCTGTACTAATTCACGCCCCCCTCTTAGTGCCGCTCCGATCCTAACAATTGGTATCAGAGCCTAGTATTTCTCATTTCGGATTTACACTCGAGAGAAATAGCTCTTCATGGCTTTCAAGAGGGCTTATCTGTTGTTCGTCCACCGTTGTTTAACGGATTGGACTACACGAAAACTTGAATGAGAGTTTTTTTAATTTCTATAAATTTGGATTTATGGAATATTGTTGAAAACAATTTTCAACTTCCTTTTAAACCGATGAACGAATGGTCGGATTTGGAGAAGAAGTATTTTTCTTTAAATGCAAAGGCTATGAATGCCTTATTTTGCGCTTTGGACAAAAATGAGTTCAATCGATTTCTACATGCGAAACGGCTTTTGATATTTGGCGAATACTTGAAATCACGCACGAGGGAACTAGTATAGTCTAAGACTCGAAAGTTAACATTTTATTGCATGATTTTGAGTTTTTTCGAATGCAACTAAGCGAGACTATAGGCGACATATACACCCGTTTCACGGATGTCGTTAATAATCTAAGAGTTCTTAGTAAATCTTTTTCGAATTTTGATCTCGTAAGCAAGATCTTAAGATCCCTTCCAAAAAGGTGGGATCCTAAAATAACCGCAATACAAGAAACAAAAGATTTAAATATTTTTCCACTTGAAGAACTAATTGGTTCGTTGATGACATATGAAATGGTGCACAATACAAATGATGAACAAAATCACCTTCCAAAGAACAGGAAGGATTTGGAACTCTGGACAAATGAATACTACTTGAGCGATGACTCAAGTGATGAGGACACTAATGAACTTGAACTTCGAACACTAAATCTTAATAAGTTTATTAAAAAAAATCTAAAATAAATAATGAACTTGAATGGAGGAAGAGATCAAAGAAGAGGAAGGCAACCAAGGATGAATAAAAAACTTCCAAAAGTGAAATGACGAATTGGGCTTTGATGAGCTTTGACTACAAGGTAAGTAACTCAACTCTCTTGAATTATTTTGAAATTACATAATACTTTTCATGAGTTATTTTTAATTTAGTTTAGAATTAATTTTCTTAAAAATTACATGAAAATAAAAAAATTAGAAATCATGCTTATCATTCTAGTAATTTTGAAAATAATAATGAAAATTATATGTTTATGATAAACAAAATAATTTTAATTAAAAATGCCTTATGAAATATGATATCATGCCTAATAAATTTAGTTTTTGAAGCTATGCATGATGATGATGACTTTTGGATAATTTATAGTTTATTGATTATTGATGATTTCTATAATGATCTTTTACGATTTATGGATTATCGATTTATACGAAAGTTGCTTTCGAAAATGATGCACGGCTTTTGTATGCAAATTAAGCATGAAAAGATAGATTCACCTAAAAAGAAAAATGTATGATTACAACAAATAACAAATGATTTTGGTTGAAAATACTTTATACTCAATGAAACCATCATTGATGAATATGCTTTATGTTTAATAGTTTCTTTAGCTTATATGCTCTATCATGATAAATATTTTGAAAATAAATAAAATTATGTTTGATTTGAAGTAATGTATAATAATCATGCTTAATGATGCATTTTTTTATTTGACATAAAAGTAGCTTTAAAAAATGATGTATGTTTTGATCTGACATAAATAAAATAGGCATGCTTATATGAAATAGTGAAGTGTTATGCTTGACAATTGTATAATTAATGATGCACAAAGTTGTAATGAAAATATTAAAATTTTAATACTATGATTTGATGATTTTATGCATGACATTGTAAAGTTATATATAATGATACATAATGATGAAATTGTGTAATAAAAATATTAAACATTTTGAAACCATGTTTTAGTGTCATGCCTATTGATCATGCTTAATAAATTTCGAAATTATGCATGATGAATCTTGCGATTTATGGATTATTGATTTTTACCATAATAAAAGTACCTTATTGATCTTTGTTGTAATAAATCTTACTCTTTCAGTTTTAAA